AGTCTAGTCTATAGTCTAGTCTAGTCTAGTCTAGTCTATAGTCTAGTCTATAGTCTAGTAGTCTATAGTCTAGTCTATAGTCTAGTCTTAGTCTAGTCTAGTCTAGTCTAGTCTATAGTCTAGTCTTTAGTCTAGTCTATATTATAGTCATAGTCTATTGTATAGTCTAGTACCTGGTCAGTCTATAGTCTAGTCTGTCTATGTTTAACCAAAAATTACTTTATCAGATAAAACCTTTTCCATCAAAATCAATTTAAAATTTGAATTTCTTTTTTCACACAGACTGGTTCCTTTCAACTCTTTGTTGAAGGTTATAAAGATGCCGATTTCTGGTTGAGACGATTCGAACAGGAACCTCTATCAGCCGGACTTAACAAATCATTTCAATTGCAATTTGAACGTTTGGTAGTTTTAGATTACATCATACGCAACACAGATCGTGGCAACGATAATTGGCTCATCAAATATAGTCAACCGAAAATAACGAAAAAAGTCAATGGTACCGGTGGCAAATCTCTGGCATCCAGTCAAAATGATATAAAAACTGAAAATATCATCAATACCACAGACACACTTGATCAAGCGCAAAATAATAATATTGTCAATCTTAATAAGAACGAAAACGATAAATTAATCGATGTGGCAATATCGGTAGCTAGTTCGGGATCACTGGCTGAATCGAGCAGTAGTACCGGTAGCAGCTTGGGTGATACCAATCAGGCAGCAGCTGATGGTCATAGTCAAAAATCATTGGATCGGCCTAATGATTGGAATATGGTAGATGCGCCACAAATACGAATAGCTGCCATTGATAATGGTCTGGCATTCCCCTTTAAACATCCCGACTCGTGGAGAGCCTATCCCTATCATTGGGCCTGGTTGCCACAAGCTAAAGTGCCATTTAGTGAGGAAATAAAACAATTAGTACTGCCACAATTGTCTGATATGAATTTCGTAGAAGAAATGTGTACAGATTTATTTTATTTATTTCAACAAGACAAAGGATTCGACAAAAGTCTCTTCGAGCGACAAATGTCGGTGATGAGGGGACAAATATTAAATTTAACACAGGCCTTAAAAGATGGCAAATCACCGGTACAACTGGTACAAATGCCTGCAGTTGTTATTGAAAAGTAAGTTGGTAAATTTTATACTTTTTATCAAATATTTTATTTCTTTTTGGCATTCTTATCATTTTAGATCAAAGGCTTCTCGTGGCTTTTTCTCTTTTACTCAGCGCTTCCAAAATAAAAGTCCTTTTTTCTCTTGGTGCTAACATTTCTGTTACAAAACCATCAAACGAAAAATATGTCTCCATCTTGTTGGCTTTATATACATATATACAACATATTATAACTTTGAAAACAAAAAATACTTGCGATTTTTTTATTATATAGTTTATCGTGTTAAAAAGTCTTTGTTTATTTTTTTTCTTAAGTTCCTTGTGTTATAATTTTAAAGTCTCATGTGCATATACATACATACTCTAATCTAATCTACATATAAATATTCTTCTATTTAGTTTTACTATAAACAAATCTCTATCTATTATTTGTTAAACAAAAAAATTATAATATTTGGCCTTTTATTTTATTTAATATTTTGCTTAAAATGTTAAATATTTTGTTTATATTTTCTACTATAATTAGGTAAATTAATTAAAATATATACTAAAGAATTTTTCGAACATTTCAATGACAGCTGCTGTTATTTTATAAGGTCTAGTTGTTGTGAATGATTCACGTTTCTAATAAATGAAATATGAAAAATATTTGAGGGATTTCAATGAGATCAGTGACTATAAAATCAAATGTTTGCAAACTTTTCACTTTCATACAGAAGATGTTGATATTCTTCAAACTTTTTACTTTTGTAGAGAGGAAATTGGGATTTCACAGAATCACAGAAGGTTGCCTCAACTATAGCATCTTTAAGTAGAAATGTCATCTGAATCAGACACACAAATTGCCAGAAAAGTTGTCTGAATCAGATAAAGTTTTTCTTTATAAAAGTTGCCTGAACAGATCAACTTTTTCTATAAAAAAGTTGCCTGAACAGATCAACTTTTTCTATAAAAAAGTTGTCTGAGTCAGTTAAATTTTTCCTCTGAATCAGAGCAACTTTTTCTATAGAAAAGTTGTCTGAATCGGATGAACTTTTTCTATAGAAAAGTTGTCTGAATCAGATCAACATTTTCTATAGAAAAGTTGTCTGAATCAGATCAACATTTTCTATAGAAAAGTTGTCTGAATCAGATCAACATTTTCTATAGAAAAGTTGTCTGAATCAGATCAACTTTTTCTATAGAAAAGTTGTCTGAATCAGATCAACTTTTTCTATAGAAAAGTTGTCTGAATCAGATCAACTTTTTCTATAGAAAAGTTGTCTGAATCAGATCAACTTTTTCTATAGAAAAGTTGTCTGAATCAGATCAACTTTTTCTATAGAAAAGTTGTCTGAATCAGATCAACTTTTTCTATAGAAAAGTTGTCTGAATCAGATCAACTTTTTCTATAGAAAAGTTGTCTGAATCAGATCAACTTTTTCTATAGAAAAGTTGTCTGAATCAGATCAACTTTTTCTATAGAAAAGTTGTCTGAATCAGATGAACTTTTTCTATAGAAAAGTTGTCTGAATCAGTTCAACTTTTTCTATAAAAAAGTTGTCTGAATCAGATCAACTTTTTCTATAGAAAAGTTGTCTGAATCAGATGAACTTTTTCTATAGAAAAGTTGTCTGAATTAGATTAACTCTTTGTATAGAAAAGTTGTTTGAATCTTATCAAGCTTACTTTATAAAATATCGTTTAAAACATTCCATTAAAACTGAAAATGTATTTGAAATGTTAAAATTCTATTAATTTGCAGTAGATAGCATAAATTTCTTAAACTATTTTCTATATAAAATTTTGTTTGCAGTTAACATATCATCTTATCTACTACTAATTCATCTATAATAGGAAAAATTCTTAACTTTTCTAATTAAGAGACATTTTGTTTGTATGAAAATTTATTAATTAGTTAAATTCTATACTAAAATCTATAAATATTTTCAGTTTCTTTAAAATATTTATTTCATAATTTAGTTTTGTTAATAGTTTCTGAAATCCTACTCTATTTTATAGTCCAACTAAAGGAGTAGCAAGGAGTAGCACTAATTATTTATAATATTATTTCTATTTCTAATAAAAACTATTATAGTTTTCTTATAACAAATCCCAAAGTCAAAAGAGAAAAAAATGTATTCTAAATTTTATTTAACTACTATTAGTATTTAATTACAAAGATAAAAGAACACATAACCAGTAAATTATATTTCTATAAATAATAAAACTAAAACAAATTATATGTTTGTATTTTATACTATAAAAATATATTATTATAGATTAAATAAACATAAAGAAACGGGGTATACATTAGTAGTTCTTGAACTGGCCTATAGTTGGATAATAATTTTTACAATTACAAAAACAATCTTATTAATCTTTTTACTATACATATACAACATACTACAGTCGTACTACATACTTCGTTTAACATTTCTTTTTAATATTATAACTTTCAACAAAAATCAAATTTTCTATATTATATTGTGTGTGTATGTTTGTAAGAATGGATGGATAATGATGATGTTATACTGAAGATGTTAGTGAGGCCTATTGGGAAAATACGACAAAAAATCTTATTTAAAAATATAAAATGTAAAAGAATAAAATAATTATAAAGAAAAATATATATAAAAATAATAATAATTTATTAAATGTTTTCTTTATTAAAAAACGAAGAAATCAGAAGTGATATTTCTGTAAGTATTAAATCAACTGATTTGATCTGATTCAGACAAGTTTTCTACAGAAAAAGTTGAGCTGATTCAGAAAATTTTTCTATAGAAAACGTTGATCTTATTCAGACAACTTTTCTATAAAAAACGATCTGATTCAGACTAGTTTATCTGATTTAGACAACTTTTCTATAGAAAAAGTTCATCTGAATCAGACAACTTTTCTATAGAAAAAGTTCATCTGATTCAGACAACTTTTCTATAGAAAAAGTTCATCTGATTCAGACAACTTTTCTATAGAAAAAGTTCATCTGATTCAGACAACTTTTCTATAGAAAAAGTTGCTCTGATTCAGACAACTTTTCTATAGAAAAAGTTGCTATGATTCAGACAACTTTTCTATAGAAAAGGTTGCTCTGATTCAGACAACTTTTCTATAGAAAAGGTTGCTCTGATTCAGACAACTTTTCTATAGAAAAAGTGGCTCTGATTCAGACAACTTTTCTATAGAAAAAGTGGCTCTGATTCAGACAACTTTTCTATAGAAAAAGTGGCTCTGATTCAGACAACTTTTCTATAGAAAAAGTTGCTCTGATTCAGACAACTTTTCTATAGAAAAAGTTGCTCTGATTCAGACAACTTTTCTATAGAAAAAGTTGCTCTGATTCAGACAACTTTTCTATAGAAAAAGATGCTCTGATTCAGACAACTTTTCTATAGAAAAAGATGCTCTGATTCAGACAACTTTTCTATAGAAAAAGATGCTCTGATTCAGACAACTTTTCTATAGAAAAAGTTGCTCTGATTCAGACAACTTTTCTTTTCGAATGCAGAATATTTAGGGACTTCAAACTCTTCTATAGAGAAGTGGAAAGCTTAAAACAACTTAAAAACTTCACTTGGATAGAATAAAGTTTCAGTTATTTCTATTCAAAAGAAAAACGTTTATTTAAATTATATATATAAAACAATTTTTATTCTTAATATTTTTATCTCACACAAATTATTTTTGAGAGACCTGGAAGTGGCCAATATATAAAAAAAATCTAAGAAAGTCATAACAAGAGTATTCTCTAAAAAGAAAGAAACTTATTAATAAGGAGCAGTCCAGTGCTTATTAAAAACAAATGTTGGCAAAATATGATTAAAATTAAAAATTCAACTAAATACATAAAAAGTTACTTAAAATTATATTAATTTCTACTTGCAAATAAACAATTTAATTACTAGCGGTATTTTCTTTATTATTATTATTTAAACATCGTTGTTTGTCCAGGGCCTGTTTTAGCTGTGAAGAATAAATGTCGATGAAAAACTATAAAAAATATCTATTAAAACAGATTTTCAATTTAATTACCTCCAAACTTTTCTTTTCTAAACTTTCCTTCATGCGCACTTGTATCTTGGCCAATTGGGCATCATATTCAATTTTCAATCTATCGTATTCTTTCAACATATGGGCTTCTTTATCTTCGGAATAACGCTGTTAGTGAGAAGGAAATTATTTCAGAAATTTTAAGACATAAACCATTTTGCTTTACCTTGTAATTAGCAGCTGTTCTCTTTGCCGAATTATATTTTGTTTGCCAGGATTGTACGGCACTTTCGTGTGCCTTTTGTAGATCTGTAAATTTCTGTTTCCAATCCATTTCTACAGCATCTAGACTTTTTCTCTGCTCTTCCCATTGTTTCATTACCGCCTTCATCGATTTTCGTTCAGCCTCAATTTGTGCTTGTCGTTCGTTTAATTCGCTGGTCAATTCTTTAATTCTTTGCACTTTTTGTTGTAGTTCATCGCGTGTCTTTTGTATGCTTATATTTTGTCTTTGTATAATATCTTTATATTCATCATCCTTTTGCTTAAGAATTTCATCCATTTTTTCTCGCTCTGCTAAAATGGCCTGTTTCAACAGATCCACCTCAGTTTGTCTTTGTTGCAATTCTGCATTAATGTGTTGATATTCACGTTGCAGACAAAGACTTTGTTCTTGAGTTTCTTGGAGTTTGGATTGAAAACGTTTTAACTCTACGGCAAATATTTTCGCCATTTCATCACGTATTCTTGCTTCGATCTTTTTAATTTCGTTACGTTCTAATTCTGGTGATGTTGTTACACTTTTATCGCTTAATTGTCTGGAATTCTTCAGGGGACTGTTGGAAGCTTCTGAAGCTGAACTGTGTGTTTTAATGTATTCTTCAAATTGTGTAGCTTTTGTTTTTAGTTCTTTGATAAGATGTTCCTGCTGTTCACTTAATTTTAATTGTTCATTTAATTCGGCAATATGGCTTTTGGAATTTTTTAATTCTTTTGTTAATTCATCGATTTCTTTTTTGCTAATTGCATTAATGTTGGTGAGTTTAAGATTCTGAATTTCAAACTAGAAGGATGGAAAGATTTTAGAAAAAGTTTATCTGATTCAAACATCATTTCTATAGAAAAAGTTCATCTGATTCAGACAACTTTTCTATAGAAAATGTTGAGCTGATTCAGACAACTTTTTTATAGAAAAAGTTCATCTGATCCAGACAACTTTTCTATAGAAAATGTTGATCAGACTCAGACAACTTTTCTATAGAAAATGTTTGTCTGATTCAGACAACTTTTCTATAGAAAATGTTTGTCTGATTCAGACAACTTTTCTATAGAAAATGTTTGTCTGATTCAGACAACTTTTCTATAGAAAATGTTTGTCTGATTCAGACAACTTTTCTATAGAAAATGTTTGTCTGATTCAGACAACTTTTCTATAGAAAATGTTCATCTGATTCAGACAACTTTTCTATGGAAAATGTTCATCTGATTCTGACAACTGTTCTATAGAAAACGTTCATCTGATTCAGTCAACTTTTCTATAGAAAACGTTCATCTGATTCAGTCAACTTTTCTATAGAAAAAGTTCATCTGATTCAGACAACTTTCCTATAGAAAAAGTTGATCTAATTCAGAAAACTTTTCTATAGAAAAGGTTCATTTTATTTAGACAACTTTTCTATAGAAAATTTTCATCTGATTCAGACAACTTTTGTATAGTAAAAGTTGATCTGATTTAGACAACTTTTCTATAGAAAAAGTTGACCGGATTCAGAAAATTTTTCTATACAAAAAGTTGATCTGATTAGACAACTTTTCTATAGAAAAAGTTGATCTGATTCAGATAACTTTTCTATAGAAAAAGTTGTTAAGATTCAGACAACTTTTCTATAGAAAAAGTTCATCTGATTGGACAACTTTTCTATAGAAAAATTTCATCTGATTCAGACAACTTTTCTATAGAAAAAGTTAATCTGATGCAGAAAAATGTATCCTAATTTAAGGAAATCATTCTGATTCTGAGCAAACTCACCTTTGTTAACTCCGCCACATAATCCATACACTTGGCACATTCATTTGCCGCCTCCTTGGCGGCCTTTGTAGTTTCCAACTTTTCCTTTTCCAATTTCTCGCGTAAATCGGCAATTTCTCTTTCATGACACAATTTCTCAGTTTCCAAAATCTTGGATAATTCTGAACACTTAACTTCGGCCAATTTCAAACCTCGCTGTAAATTGGCCACTTTTTCCTTTTCCTCCTGCAATTCCTTGGCTCTGTCTGTTTTAAGTAACTTTTCCATTTCATACGATAAAGCCTCTTTGGCATTTGATATCTCAACATAGAGATTTTTCAAACGATCACATTCTGCTTGGGCATCTTTTAGAAGAAATTTATGTTTTTCCAATTCCAAACGCGTATTCTCGGCGGTGTGTCGCTGCTTAAGACCAAGATTTTCTTTGAGTATTTGTTCATTATTTAATTTAAGACTTTCATGTTCTTGTTTGAGTTCTTCCAAGTCGATTTCGAGATTTTTCAATTGGCCATCGAGTTTTTTGCGTTCAATTTCTTGTTGCAATTTTTGTTCTTCCAGTTGTTGGGTTTTTTGTGTTTCCTCAGCCAATTGTCTTCTCAAGTCTTCTAGTTGTGAGTGCAAACGATTGTCTTGCTGTTGCGTTTGGGCCTGCTGTTCAAATTCTTCCTCCATTACACGTAATTTATTTTGTAGTTTTATATTTTCCTCTTTTAAAGTGGAAATTTGTACCAAAGACTTATTTTCTTCTTGCTTTAGTTGTTTGATCTCCAGTTGTTTTTCGTCTAGGAATTGTTGCAGTTTACGTATCTCTTCCCGTTTGCTTTTAATATTGGCTAAAGCACGATAGAGTTCCTCCTTTAAATTGCCCATTCTATCGAGGGGATTGAGAGGAGTACTACCCACCACACGTCCTTGAGTCTGGCTAAGTCTACGCGGTGTATCTTCTTGATTATATTGATGCAACACACTATCCATGGAGTCCAATTCCGCGGTGGTCATTTCCAAACGTTCTTTTAAGGAGTTAATAGTCTTTTCCATATCTTGAATCTGTTGCTGCAGACTGGCTATGAGTTTTTGCAACCTTACATTCTCCTGGAAGTAATCGGGACGCGACAGCAATTCCTCACAACGTTTCTGAGCCTCATCGAGTGCATGATTTAGATCATTGATTTTACTGGCCTTATCACACAACATCATTTGATGTGATTCCTGCAAGGCTTGATAGCGGGTATTCATACTCTCCAATTCAGAAGACTTCTTATCCAATTTATTGGCCACTTGTTCCATTTGTTGTTGCAGCATTTCGATTTCGGCCCGATGGCGATCTTCCATTTGTTTACGTTTCAATTCAAAGTTACGTTCTTGATTTCTATTTAAATCTCTTTCCACCATGTCATATTTCCTCTGAACATCTGCCAATAGATTTTGTGCTGTTTCCAATTTCCCCACTAGAGCATTGTTTTCCGCCTCCAAAGATTTTTTCTCATTTTTCATTTTGTTAATGGTATTTTCCAAATTCGAACATTTTTCTTTAGATTCCACCAATAGCTCGTGATTATTTGATTTGCTAGACAAGGCACGATCTAATTCAGCCTGCGTTATGCTTAATTTCTTTTCCAAATCACTGCGTCTATGATACTCTTCATTTAGTAAATGTTGTGAGTGCTCCAGTTCACGGCTACGTGACTCTGCCAACATTTTAAGGTTATGTATTTCCTTCTCGCAGGCACTGTGATCCACAACAGTGGGAGGAGCAGGCGCAAAGGCATTATTTATATTATTACCATAGGGGTGCGTAAGCAGAGGCTGCTGATGATGCTGCTGCTGTTGTGCTGGCTCCATTAAGTCAGACTGAAAATTTGTTGTGGAATCTATGGTGGTCTCGTCATCATCCAAATCACCAAAAGCATTTTCGATTATTTTACCCAACTTTTAAGATTTTTCATTAATTGACATTTAAATTTATGATAAAATTTACAAATTTTAAAACAAACCTCTTCATGGCGTCTTCTTTGATCTTCTAAAGCCTCCTCCTCTTCTTGCCTTTCCAAGCTGGTATTAACTTTAATACTCTCGGCTCCTTGAAATAAACTTATGCCGGGCGTATTCATTTTCTTTTAAAAATCAACAGTTTGTTAATAATTTGAATATTTAAATAGTTTTTAACGCAGGCGCATTCTTTGTTGTTGTTAGTATGTGCGTGTGTTTTTTTTCAATTGTTTTGAAAAACAATTGTAAAAAAAATTCCAAATTCTTCTTCTTTTTAGAACATTGATAGCTCAACAAAATGTTTTGTTTACTTTAGAGCGACCTCTAGCGGTGAGTAGTAAATTAATGTGAGAGGCCGAGTTTACACTGTAGTTATTTAGAAAGCAGACGTTATAATGTAAAATTTTAAAGTTGCCACGGCATTTTATTGTTTTTGTTATTACTGATGTTACTTAAATGTTTATTATTGTAGTTATTATTAGTTTTCTATTTGTAAGTCATCTAGATAAACTGGATATCCTGAAAATTATCAGAGTTGCCTCAGTCATTTATAGTTACGGGCTAGTAAGAGCAGAACACCACCCATGATAGATACGTTATATCTTGTCGGACAGCCCAACTGAAAAGAACGGTAACAAAGAAAAAGTTCAAAAGTTCCTTCCTCGTTATGACAAAACAAGACCAATGAAATCTCAACCTATTCAATGTCTCTCCATGTAAATAAATCGCAATCGTCCTACTAGATCAAAAAAAAAACCACAATAACACTGTTCGAAATTTGTCACCAGACAAATTTTCCACGAACAAGGGCCTAACGTATAAATCCTTTTTTCCTCTCCCAACTCCTTAAATTGTCCCTAAAAAGTTGGTTTTGGTGCAATCTTTTATATTTCAAATAATGTTTTTTTACTATTTTTTATTTTTTCCATACTTTTTTCAGATTTTTTCGTTTTTAGCCTTAATTAAAAAAAAAGGATTTTGTTTTTAATATTACTTTAAAGATTTGTTTCGTGTTTTTGTTTTTAAGATTTGTTTTTTTTTTATTAATATTATACAGACTGTCCATTTATGTTCATAAACGCACTTATATTGGGGCATTTATCTAATTTCTCGGGATCGATTTGGAAAACCTTGGACAAACGTTTCCAACTCTGCGCATCGAAATAGTAAAAGGTGCCACGTTCTTTTGTACCATTTTTCTCGTATTGATTGGGGCCAGGAATTCGAGTTATCCAGATTTTTTCCTCTATATGATATCTCCATTCGCGACTATGTCTGCAATAAGAGAAGAACGCAAAAAAAACAAAATTAATATATTAAAAGAGGATTTAAGGCATAAAACGGAACTTACAATTCTGCTGCTGCCATAAGTTGCATGATATCGCCGATATTTGTATAGAACAGGAAAAAAAGCAGATCTTCTTGCAGTTTTTTTAAATGTGGCGAGGAAAGTTTGTCTCTTATCGCAAAATTTATCAAATATTCAGGTGGCACATTACACTCAACATCTTGTGCTCTAGTAAATACAACAACAAAAAACAACAAAAACAATTAATTACAATTATATTCAAATAACAAACTCTCTTACAAATAGAAAAATTAAAACTTTTACACACCTGCAGGGATGATCCGCAAACGGTCCAGCGAATGTTGGATGTAAACTTTCTTGGGAATTGAGATTTAAACCTAAACCAGTTAAATCAATGCCTGAGGCTAATGTAACCAAATTTGGATCGGATTCAGCGGCACGCATAAACGTTAATAAGCCCACCATACCAAATTGATTATTCACCATACTCGCCGGTATATTTGTGACTTTGCCTAAAATGTAACAAAAACAGGAAATTAGTAAAAAGTATTAGAAAGTATGTTTTAGCTTAACAAAGCATTAATTAAGTGTTATAGTTTATAGATATACAATAAGATAATAATAATTAATAAAAAAGCAACATTTAATGAAAACCGTACCATCAGGAGATGTTTGCACGCCGGTTTTCATCAATTTGTTATCGCTGGAATTATCATTCGGATGTTGTTGTTGTTGCTGTTGTTGTTGCTGCTGTTGCTGTTGTTGTTGTTGTTCAATGCTACCACTATTACCCATACCACTAATGCCAGATGTTGTACCACTACCACTGGGTGCCGAACTACTCACACCACCAGAGCTAACAATACCACCAATACCACTGCCAAAATTGCCACCTGCTGTACTGACAGGCGCTCCACCAACACCACCACCAACTACACCAACACCTCCTTGTCCACTACTACCACCACCAACGACACCACCAACTGATGAGCCTGATCCTACCGCACCACTACCCACAGCTCCCAACCCACTGTTGGCTACAATTGAATTCATTGTCTTATCCGTACCATCCAAATTATTACTATCTGTTAGAGCACTTCCCGCATTCGTTGTACCATCCGAGTTTTGAGTGCCCGGTAACGCAGGGAAATCTTCATTAGACATCGTGAATTCCGATTGCTCTGATGTTGGTTGTTTTACCATGCCAACTAAAAGATGTCATTTTCATTTTTGATTTGGATTTCGATTTCGATTTGGATTTCGATTTTTTTTTGTTTTTTGTTTTGGGAAGAAATAAAAGAAGAAGAGGGGAAGAAATACTCTTTAGCATTCAAGTATTTAATAATTGTAAATTTTGTTTTCGTTTGTTTTCTTTTTTGTTATTGTAAATGCGTATAGAAAATAAATTTCGGAAAAATATTAACAGAACTTTTCTAAATGAATCTTTAAAGAGCCAAATGGGTGTTAAAAAAATCAACAAAAGAAATCTAAGTTCATACTCTATAAATTAACAACAAAACAAAAAACTAAAAACACGTTTTCACTACTAATACTAGAATTTTCAAACAACAACAAAATTAGCTTCCAATTTCAATTCTTTTAACAACAAAACAAAAGAGTGTTTTCCTTAAGCATTTTGGAGGCAGGAGCAAGGGAGGTTGTTTTTGTTCAGCATATATGTACATTTAAAAGGTGATTTCCAATTTTGGAGTTTTCAATGTTTGGTTAGTAACAAATGAATAATTTTGATGACATTTTTACATAAATATAATGAAATTTTGCCAAGGACCAAATTAGATTTGAAAATAGGACTTTTATCAGTTTTTAGTTTAGGCGCTTTTCATTAATTTTATCAGAATAATTTGAATTCAGATTATTTTCAACGAACTGAAAATTACCGGTAACAACTGCTTCATCTTGGATTTTGGGTTGGTATGAAAACTCGAGCTATCCACACAAATTTTGTCCCTTACACTTATCTTAGCCAACCGTTTAATAAATATTTTATTAGAATATTGAACTGGAACTGAATTAGGCATGAACTAGAATTGAACTAGAACTGAACTAGAACTTAACTACAACTGAACTAGAACTGAACTAGAACTTAACTAGAACTGAACTAGAACTGAACTAGAACTGAACTAGAACTGAACTAGAACTGAACTAGAACTGAACTAGACCTGAACTAGAACTGAACTAGAACTGAACTAGAACTGAACTAGAACTGAACTAGAACTGAACTAGAACTGAACTAGAACTGAACTAGAACTGAACTAGAACTGAACCAGAACTGAACTAGAACTGAACTAGAACTGAACTAGAACTGAACTAGAACTGAACTAGAACTGAACTAGAACTGAACTAGAACTGAACTAGAACTGAACTAGAACTGAACTAGAACTGAACTAGAACTGAACTAGAACTGAACTAGAACTGAACTAGAACTGAACTAGAACTGAACTAGAACTGAACTAGAACTGAACTAGAACTGAACTAGAACTGAACTAGAACTGAACTAGAACTGAACTAGAACTGAACTAGAACTGAACTAGAACTGAACTAGAACTGAACTAGAACTGAACTAGAACTGAACTAGAACTGAACTAGAACTGAACTAGAACTGAACTAGAACTGAACTAGAACTGAACTAGAACTGAACTAGAACTGAACTAGAACTGAACTAGAACTGAACTAGAACTGAACTAGAACTGAACTAGAACTGAACTAGAACTGAACTAGAACTGAACTAGAATTGAACTAGAACTGAACTAGAACTGAACTAGAATTGAACTAGAACTGAACTAGAACTGAACTAGAACTGAACTAGAACTGAACTAGAACTGAACTAGAACTGAACTAGAACTGAACTAGAACTGAACTAGAACTGAACTAGAACTGAACTAGAACTGAACTAGAACTGAACTAGAACTGAACTAGAACTGAACTAGAACTGAACTAGAACTGAACTAGAACTGAACTAGAACTGAACTGAACTGAACTAGAACTGAACTAGAACTGAACTAGAACTGAACTAGAACTGAACTAGAACTGAACTAGATCTGAACTGAACTAGAACTGAACTAGAACTGAACTAGATCTGAACTGAACTAGAACTGAACTAGAACTGAACTAGAACTGAACTAGAACTGAACTAGAACTGAACTAGAACTGAACTAGAACTGAACTAGAACTGAACTAGAACTGAACTAGAACTGAACTAGAACTGAACTAGAACTGAACTAGAACTGAACTAGAACTGAACTGAACTAGAACTGAACTAGAACTGAACTAGAACTGAACTAGATCTGAACTAGAACTGAACTAGAACTGAACTAGAACTGAACTAGAACTGAACTAGAACTGAACTGGAACTGAACTAGAACTGAACTAGAACTGAACTAGAACTGAACTGGAACTGAACTAGAACTGAACTAGAACTGAACTAGAACTGAACTAGAACTGAACTAGAACTGAACTAGAATTGAACTAGAACTGAACTAGAACTGAACTGAACTAGAACTGAACTAGAACTGAACTAGAACTGAACTAGAACTAGAACTGAACTAGAACTGAACTAGAACTGAACTAGAACTGAACTAGAACTGAACTAGAACTGAACTAGAACTGAAACTAGATCTGAACTAGAACTGAACTAGAACTGAACTAGAACTGAACTAGAACTGAACTAGAACTGAACTAGAACTGAACTAGAACTGAACTAGAACTGAACTAGAACTGAACTAGAACTGAACTAGAACTGAACTAGAACTGAACTAGAACTGAACTAGAACTGAACTAGAACTGAACTAGAACTGAACTAGAACTGAACTAGAACTGAACTAGAACTGAACTAGAACTGAACTAGAACTGAACTAGAACTGAACTAGAACTGAAGTAGAACTGAAGTAGAACTGAAGTAGAACTGAACTAGAACTGAACTAGAACTGAACTAGAACTGAACTAGAACTGAACTAGAACTGAACTAGAACTGAACTAGAACTGAACTAGAACTGAACTAGAACTGAACTAGAACTGAACTAGAACTGAACTAGAACTGAACTAGAACTGAACTAGAACTGAACTAGAACTGAACTAGAACTGAAGTAGAACTGAAGTAGAACTGAAGTAGAACTGAACTAGAACTGAACTAGAACTGAACTAGAACTGAACTAGAACTGAACTAGAAATGAACTAGAACTGAACTAGAACTAAACTAGAACTGAACTAGTACTACCGAACAAAATTTGAACTAGAACTGAATAACTTTGAAATGTTTTGAGATTATTTTTAAAGTTTAAAACATTTTTCAAACTTTTGCATCCAAAATATATCTTCAGATATCGATAGGAATCTTGTGACAAAGAAAAAAAAAAAAACACCAAAAAGTAATAAATTTATGTACAATATCCTAAATATTCTGAATCGTTTCAATGTATAGCAGATATAAAAATTTCTCAATGCCTTTTCAAAAAGGATTTCAAAAGATTGTGTTAAAACTTTCTAAATTATCCACTTATTAGCTAAATTTTAATCAAAATTATCCCAACCAAATAGTTTTTTGAATGTCAGACCTTAAACCTAAGCCCCTCTAACATTGCCCCACTATCACGCCTTTAACACTCTTTTCGAAATTTCGCATTATAACTTAAACTATCATGGACACACAACACTATAACTTACAAATGAACGTATTAACTAATTGACAAAACTACAAAAAAACACTAAAAACAACTTTAACATTAATAATGAATGAATTTAGATAATAGAAGTAATAAAAAATAATTAGACAAATAGATGAAATTGTTTTTTAGGAGAGAACAAAAAAAAACGTAAATAAAAAGACACAAACTAAAACAAAATGATTACAAATATGTATAAATATAAAACTATATGTATATAGTATAAATAAATAATGAAGTAAAAAAAACGAAGGATATATTTCGTTGAAAAACTCACAAGAGGTAAAGAAATTACCATAAGGTTTGCTTCCCGGCGGCTGGAGGGGATTCGTCTGAGGCAGTGATTGATCATTCTGGCCGCGAGCATTTGTCAGAGATGGAAATTCTGAAGGATCGAGTAGGGCCGGCGTTGTTGTATCCCCACTGCCACCAAAAACATTATGGAAATTATTTAGAGGTCCACCAGCGGCACCGCCACCACCTCCACCACTACCAGTCGTACCGTAACCGCCACGATTTTGCATAAAATTGCCCATGTTCGACTACAAGAAAAATACAAAAAGAAATAATAACATTCAAATTCCATAATAAAGAGAGAAATTTAAAGTTTTATAACTTACCATAGGCCCCTGACCCAGTCCCTGCATACGTCTTTCCACATATGGACGCTGGTTAAAAACATTTGCACGATTACCACTTGTTAACGCAGGACCACCAACCGATAGCTGAGCACTACGATTCGGTGATAATTGAGGTTGCGTTTGTCCATAATTTGCTCCTTTAAAGAATATTTTAAATGAGTTAATATTTATATTATTTGGAAAATAAAGAAGAGAACAACTTACCACTGGGAAACATGCCTGACGTGGGTGTTACATGACCGGATAATGAACTACCACCAAAACCGCCTGTAGTTCTGCCCGTTAGAGATGCATTTGCTATGCTTCTTGGGGGTTGTTGAAAATTTAAATTCGCCATTATCTAAAAATAAGATATAAAAAAAACAAAAACATTACCATTTAATAAAATTGGCTTATAGGTAAAGCATGTATTTAACATGTTTTGTTTCATGTTGCTAAATAAGCATAAAGTAAATGCCTTAAATAGGTCAAGGTTTCTATTGTATTCATTCACTTTGTTTTCCATTGTAATTATAATAATGTTGATAAAGTTGGGCTTTTAATATAAAATAAAAGTAGATAAACTTTTGGTTTTTAACTTGAATTGCAAACCTTTTAAAAACTTAAATTTTATGGGAAATTCCAGCAGCTCAGGGTGACTGTCCCGAATTAGTAAATTTTTTGTTATTCAGGAAAATCGAAAATAAGATAAAATTTCTAAAATAAAACGGTATCTAAACTAGAACTGAAGTAGAACTTAACTTTAACTGAACTAGAAGTGAACTGAATTAGAACTGAACTAGAACTGAACTAGAACTGAACTAGAACTGAACTAGAACTGAACTAGAACTGAACTAGAACTGAACTAGAACTGAACTAGAACTGAACTAGAACTGAACTAGAACTGAACTAGAACTGAACTGGAACTGAACTAGAACTGAACTAGAACTGAACTAGAACTGAACTAGAACTGAACTAGAACTGAACTAGAACTGAACTAGAACTGAACTAGAACTGAACTAGAACTGAACTAGAACTGAACAAGAACTGAACTAGAACTGAACTAGAACTGAACTAGAACTGAACTAGAACTGAAATAGAACTGAAGTAGAACTGAACTAGAACTGAACTAGAACTGAACTAGAACTGAACTAGAACTAAACTAGAACTGAACTAGAACTGAACTAGAACTGAACTAGAACTGAACTAGAACTGAACTAGAACTGAACTAGAACTGAACTAGAACTGAACTAGACTAGAACTGAACTAGAACTGAACTAGAACTGAACTAGAACTGAACTAGAACTGAACTAGAACTGAACTAGAACTGAACTAGAACTGAACTAGAACTGAACTAGAACTGAACTAGAACTGAACTAGAACTGAACTAGAACTAAACTAGAACTGAACTAGAACTGAACTAGAACTGAACTAGAACTGAACTAGAACTGAACTAGAACTGAACTAGAACTGAACTAGAACTGAACTAGAACTGAACTAGAACTGAACTAGAACTGAACTAGAACTGAACTAGAACTGAACTAGAACTGAACTAGAACTGAACTAGAACTGAACTAGAACTGAACTAGAACTGAACTAGAACTGAACTAGAACTAAACTAGAACTGAACTAGAACTGAACTAGAACTGAACTAGAACTGAACCAGAACTGAACTAGAACTGAACTAGAACTGAACTAGAACTGAACTAGAACTGAACTAGAACTGAACTAGAACTGAACTAGAACTGAACTAGAACAAAACTAGAAGTAATGTAAAATTAAACATATTCAATCATTTAACAAAGGTTTATGAAACTTATTAATTGAGTACAATTTTTTACAACATATGTATTAGTAAATTTAATTTTAATAAAGCCTTATTTTTCATAATAACAATATTAACTAAAAACTTATAAACGGCTAAAGAAATAGTTTTCTCTACATAAAAACATATTCTACTAAAATAATAAAACAAGGATCAAATTATATATAAACGTATATAAAACGTTAATGATCCCCAAATACAAGTTAAGTATTTTTTTAATACATAAACTCTACTACATATAGAGATAAATACACAATTATTTGACTACCTGTCGCATTTAAGACACACATGTATCGGATAATATACGAACATGAATATATTTTTGTTATAGCCTTCTGTCTATGTAGTGGAAAATGATGATGTTGATGGCAAAGATGATAATGATGTTGATTACTGACCCTTATACGCCATTACCAAGAATACCAACAACACCATCACTCTCTTACCATTAAAACTAATACAAATTTAAGCATCAAGTATAATAATAACGAAATAAAATATGTGTTAAAAAAACAATCCATCGTTTATAAATATTACCAGGCTTTAAAAAAATACTCGAACATACAATAAAAATAAAAATGCATATTGAAAGAATCAACATTAATAGCCATTGAAAACGAAAAGGATGATGTTGCTGATGACGAGAAGACAAACAATAATTATAGAAACAACATTTACGGAAGGAATTTCATACATATTCAGAGCCAGGAACACAAAATAATAGTGTTTATTTATATGTAGAATAACAACGGGAAAAGATTTTATTTTGGTTTCATTTTCCAATGTTTTTTTTTTCTTATTGTTTTAACATATTTTTTGTTGTTTTGTTAACAAAAAATTCTTGTTATTATTAGAAAATACTGCAGCAGGAAATGCACGTCGTAAAGTCTCTATGTCTATCTACGACGCCTCTTTTTGGAATGCTGTAATTAAAATTGATTTTAAAATATTCTTAAGGTCGTTTGTTTTTCCCTTAATGCCTGTCATTTTTCAGTAACAGTTGATGTGTTAAAAGCGTTATTAATATTGAATTTGTTAATTTCGAAGGATTTGTGTAAAAGTGTTTGAGTGTGTGTATGAAACTGAAGAACTTTTAAAGGGGCTACAGCAGTGAATTTAGGGTGATCTAGAAATTTTACTGGAAATAACTAACTAACTAACTAACTAACTAACTAACTAACTAACTAACTAACTAACTAACTAACTAACTAACTAACTAACTACTAACTAACTACTAACTAACTAACTAACTAACTACTAACTAACTAACTAACTAACTAACTAACTAACTAACTAACTAACTAACTAACTACTAACTAACTAACTAACTAACTAACTAACTAACTAACTAACTAACTAACTAACTAACTAACTAACTAACTAACTAACTAACTAACTAACTAACTAACTAACTAACTAACTAACTAACTAACTAACTAACTAACTAACTAACTAACTAACTAACTAACTAACTAACTAACTAACTAACTAACTAACTAACTAACTAACTAACTAACTAACTAACTAACTAACTAACTAACTAACTAACTACTAACTAACTAACTAACTAACTAACTAACTAACTACTAACTAACTAACTAACTAACTAACTAACTAACTAACTAACTAACTAACTAACTAACTAACTAACTAACTAACTAACTAACTAACTAACTAACTAACTAACTAACTAACTAACTAACTAACTAACTAACTAACTAACTAACTAACTAACTAACTAACTAACTAACTAACTAACTAACTAACTAACTAACTAACTAACTACTAACTAACTAACTAACTAACTAACTAACTAACTAACTAACTAACTAACTAACTAACTAACTAACTAACTAACTAACTAGCTAACTAACTAACTACTAACTAACTAAGAACGGAACTAGAACGGAACTAGAACGGAACTAGAACGGAACTAGAACGGAACTATAACTGAACTAGAACTGAACTAGAACTGAACTAGAACTGAACTAGAACTGAATTAGAACTGAACTAGAACTGAACTAGAACTGAACTAGAACTGAACTAGAACTGAACTAGATCTGAACTAGAACTGAACTAGAACTGAACTAGAACTGAACTAGAACTGAACTAGAACTGAACTAGAACTGAACTGGAACTGAACTAGAACTGAACTAGAACTGAACTAGAACTGAACTAGAACTGAACTAGAACTGAACTAGAACTGAACTAGAACTGAACTAGAACTGAACTAGAACTGAACTAGAACTGAACTAGAACTGAACTAGAACTGAACTAGAACTGAACTAGAACTGAACTAGAACTGAACTAGAACTGAACTAGAACTGAACTAGAACTGAACTAGAACTGAACTAGAACTGAACTAGAACTGAACTAGAACTGAACTAGAACTGAACTAGAACTGAACTAGAACTGAACTAGAACTGAACTAGAACTGAACTAGAACTGAACTAGAACTGAACTAGAACTGAACTGAACTAGAACTGAACTAGAACTGAACTAGAACTGAACTAGAACTGAACTAGAACTGAACTAGAATTAAACTAGAACTGAACTAGAATTGAACTAGAACTAAACTAGAACTGAACTACAACTGAACTAGAACTTAAATAGAACAGAACTAGAACTGAAGTAAAACATAACTAGAACTGAAGTAATACATAACTAGAACTGAAGTAAAACATAACTAGAACTGAAGTAATACATAACTAGAACTGAAGTAATACATAACTAGAACTTTAGAAATAAAAAACCTTTAACTGACACCTCTTAGGTCCTGGATAAGCAATTCGTAGATGTATACTCAATTAAACAAACCGAGACTGGATCACATGTCGAAGTTTACACTACAATATACTCTAAATCGCAAATCAATGTGTTAAAATGTCGAATATAAATAACCACCACGAGAAGATCAATTACCTGTCGTCAATGTGTTGTTGACTAGACAGTTCTTGTAGGCATGCCATATGTCAAAATATCGATACTAATAGAGTACCATAATTGCAACAAAAAGCCGGCTTTTCGACTTTATGCTAATTATGAAAAGTCCATTTATTAAAAATCGTTTTAAAGAACTCTACGCTATAATTATTTAAATCTTCTGAAAAAAATCACGGCTAAAGAAATGACACATCTGTAAGCTAATGTTACTTCTGAAATAATTTTAAAAATTTTCTTAATCGTAACTAAATGGATTTAAATATGTACTGCATTAAATAAATCAAAGCGAATGAAAAAAGTTGTATGCCCGGAAGAATTCAAGATCCAAAACCCTATAATCTATACTTCACGTTAAAAAAATATGATGAATCAAAATAAATTATGTAAAAGCCACGATTTTTATCATTGTAAAAACTACAAAGTGAAAGTAAAATTTAAGAAATGTGAAACATATTGTGAAATTAACAAATGAATGTTACAGCCACAAATCTAACAAAGGAACCTTTCTGAAAACATTAACCTGGCGATCAATGTTTAAAAATATTATGATCCTTAATGCCAAAAATTTTAAAAATGCAGAACATTAATCTTAAGTCGCCTATCTATTCTGATATTTTGAAGGATTTAACCTCAATTATGCACTTATTACCTTTTAACGAGAAAACAATAAGAAATTATAAAAATTTCGCTATATCCCTTTCTAACAAAATAATCTAAGACTCCTAAACTTGAAAATCTAATTTTATACAACTTTAAAGTATTTTTATTTCAAATTTCCATTTTCCTTGCGTCTACACTCACCCAATAAATCTGTTGTGAATTCTTGTTCCGAATGTATTGTTGCTTTTGTTGTTGTTATTGTTTTCAAACGACTTGTAATACTTGAGCTTTTGCTGCTTCTACTGCTACGACCATAAGAACAGTTCACCGCATCTAACATTCCAAAGCGGCAAAAAATGGAACGTTATTAAACGTTAGGTGGAATCCAACTGCCCCAATATTTGCTAATAACACCACACAGTGATTAGCACAACACAGGCAGGCGGGCAGAAAGTATGAAAGTGGTATGGTAGTTATCACTTGGGCTCAAAAATACAATACAAATCCGTTGAGCTATCAACCTTGAAATTTAATCACTGTTTTTTTTTTTTTGGCAAACACAACACAGAATAGTTATTTGGTTGGTTGAAAGACAGACGAGATATAAATGTTTATGTTAGGGATTCAGATCCACTATTTTTTTGTTTGTTGTGTTTTCGATATTATAGGAATTTATTGAGAGCAGGCGCAGGCTGGCTGGCGCTATCACGAAGAAGAAGAAAAAATGGCACAAAAACGGCGTCTGTTAACTAATACACCAAATGGTTTCCAAACCAAATATTTAAGAAAATTACCATAAAATTTTGCACGTTTTTTTCTTTTCTCCAATTCCTTTAACACTTTACCATGAACTGCTAAAAATGATTTAAAGATTTCAAAATAATAGAGCAAGTTCAACTTTTTCCTGTGGAGGAGTTTATTTATTTTCTAGAAGTTGTGTTGGAGTAGCATTAGCTGCTGGTCGATCGGGTCGGGTCGATTGGTCTTTGATTTTGTTACTTTTTTCAACTTTTCCTCTCTTTTTCAGTTGGTTGGTGTTGCTTGTCCAATTGATTGCAACACACAAACAAACACACACTTATGATGTTTCTTCCTCTTCTTCGTCGACACAAACACTGACACTCACACACACAAACACAACCTCAACTTTTTCTTCTTTTTTAAACTTTTTCGTATCGTAATTTTCAGTAGTGGCCACCAACTTTAAACTATTTTGCTGAATACACTTTCTATTCTAGATTTTTAATTGTTTTTTTTTTGAAATTTACCAATAAGTAATTTTGAATATTTTGCTTGAATTTGATTCAAGCAAAAATTGTTTCTTTTTTGTTGTTTGTTTCTTGCTCGACTATTTTTTTCTTTTGAATGCTGCTTCTTCACGACGTCTTTATTCGTTGGTTTTTCTTTTTTTATTTAGTTATGGTTGTCTATATATTTTTCTTTTTCGTCCCAACGTCTATCGTCTGTAACTTGCCTTTGTTTTTTTAATTTCAAAGCAGTTCAATGAAATTTCACCCGAACTTATTGAAAGACTGCTGCTGCTGCTGATGGGAGAAGAGAGAAAAAAATCACTTTTGGTTTTTTCTTTCCTTCTTATTTTTTTCGTTTTTAGCAAAATTCACTCTACAGTGTTTTCTTTTGCCTTTAACGCATCCATATAGAAAATATTTTCCTTTAAGGAAAACTGTCTTATTTTCTGAAGGGCTTTTTCTGTTATTAACAAATCGAAATTTGCGTAGAATTTCTTTGAGCTGAAATTTAAAACACACACAAAAAAACCTTCCGCAAAATTTTTTTATGGCTCATAGCACGAATACAATTACACAGAAAACGAAATGTCGTTCGTTGCGCTTGCATGTATTTGGGTAATAATAAAATGCTGTCTAGTTTTTGTTTCACTGTCACACAAGTCAATAACTGTATATTAGCTAGTTGTCTCTCTTTTACCCATGTAATTTTACATACTAAATATTTAAACAGAGTTGCTTTTCTGTTTTCTTTCTCTTCTTGTGTAATTACTAGTTACAATACAACTCTGATGTTGTTTTGTAAGTGGGCATTACTTATTAGAGTTACCAGTTTTTATTATATATATAACAAATTGGAAAACGACAATACTTATATACTAAGAACCCAAACAGGCAAGAGTACTATTAAATCTATAAACTCATAAGTTAATAAAATTTACAAATTATGAAAGTCAATTTTTTGCTTTTGATTTTTTTCTCACTATTTACTTTTTAGACAATTTTCAATTTTCGAAATTATTTAAACCAAATATATATATAATACTATTTTTAAATTGTTAGTTTTTCACATTTACAATTTTTCGATTTTTTTTTTTTTGCAGATTATCGATTTTTTATATAAAATAAGGTTTAGTTTCTAAAACTTTTACTAAAAATCGACTTTTCAATAATTAGGAAAATTTGAAAAAATCGAAATAAGTCGAAAAAAATTAAAATCAAACAAAGGTCGATAAGTCAAAAGTCGATATTAAAAAAAGCTCAAAAAGTCGACAATTTAAAAATTGTAAAAAAATTTAATTTTAAAAATTTCAAAAAACGTCCAATTCTACTTTTCATAAATTGTCGAAAAAATTAAAAAAAAATCGAAAAGTTCTAAAAGGAGATAATTTCTGGAAATGGATATAAGTAGGAAAATTGAATGCCGATTTTTTATAAAACATTTCAGATTTTTTTCTTTAACTTTAAAAATATACAACTCTGCAAACTCTGTTGACTGCAAATAAAAGTCCAAAAAAGTTAAAAAGTCAAAAATGTCCAAATTTTCAAAAAAGTCAAAGTAGACTTTTTATATATTGTCGGATAGTTCGAAAAATCGAAAATTTTTCGTAATCGGAAAGACAAAAGTCGACTTTTTATAAAAAAAAAAAATACATACATTTATTTTTTAACTTTCGTAATATACAACTCTGCTATTGAAAAGCTAATATTGATTATTGATTACTTAAAAGCACAAATCGTTATCGAATTATCAACACCCAATTACTCCATACATTTACATCACTATTCAAGAGTCGGAAAAATTGTATAAATCGTAAGAAAATTCCGTTTTTATTATTGTATTTCTAAAATACAATAAAAGTTTAACTAAATACTGCTACTTTAAGGAAAAATAAGGAAATTCAAGGCAACTGAAAGTAAATAATTATAAAAATTTTAGATTCTGCATTTGTCCAAAATAACAGGAGAAGAAGAAGCACTCACACAATACTCAGTTGCAGCTAGAGAAGGAAATATTCCAGAAAGTTTGTTAGCAGTAGAAGCAGCATAAAAAGGAAACGCAAATAAATGTAAGTTTGTCATAAATGACATGATAATTTTTCTTTCTTTTTTTTGTTAATTTTATTAAAATTAGTGAAAAATATTTCAAAACAAACAATAATAAAAGTAATAACGCCATTTGTATTTTATTTTTTTTTTTGTGAAATTTATCGGTATTTTTGCTGCTGCTGCTAACGACGCCAACGCCGCCGACGTCTGCTGCTATGTTTTTTTTTTGTGTGTTCAATACACTTGAACTTTTTTTGGTGCTTTTTTTTGTCGTATTCTTTTTTTGTTCTTTCTATACGTTTCGTTCATTCGTCGTTATTGTTCGTCGCGGTTGCTGTGTCGTTTTTCTACGGATTCCATTTAATCATCAGTGTGAATTTTTATACAATAGAAAACTTTAAAAAAGAAATTTTACAAAAAAAAAAAAATTAAATATTTTCTTTGCAAATTTCTAATAACTAAATTGCTAACTATAGTTTAATTATATATACATAAAGAAAAACAGCAGAAAAAAAGAAAATGACGTCTCTCGAACCAAATGTGAATCGTTTGCAAAATTTCAAAAACAAAGGCAAGGATCAAGAGGTAAGTTTTCCATTTTAATTAATTTGTTTTCATTATTAAACTACTTGAAAGAAAAAAACCACACCCTCCGAAAAAAAATCATCGAAAATTATATATTTTTTAAAATAAAATTTCCTTGAGAAGAAGAAAATAGGCACATGTTTTTGTTGTAATGGTGGTGTGTTGTGCTGTGTGTGAGGGAACCAAATAATGGGAATTGGCAAAAGACACAAAACTGCTTAACCTCCATTTCATTTTCTAACTGAAAGAAAAAAAAAAGTTATCTCCCCACTGCCTAATTTTATTGATTTTCTGTTGCAGTTTTGCATTTAATGGAGAAAAATCTCTTTTCTATTTTCTTTTTTATTCGCAATTAATGATTTGCGTTTTAATTTCATATAATTTAATTTTTCTTAATTCATTTTCATTGTCATTTATTTCCTCGTGGTTCAATTACGGTGAACTTTTTTTGTATTTTTGCGTTTTCCATTTTTACTGTTGGTTTCGTAAATTTCTCACCAACACATTAGCGAATGTTTAATTATGGGTGCGAATGTGTGTGTGAGAATATAATTGTAGATTTTCTTTTGTTTACAATTTTCTGCAAGTACCCGAAAATACAACTCTGCTCTAAAATGATCTATTGGAAAGCAGAGCTGTTAAACAAATTAGGTTTGTTTTTAACGGTAATACATTTCTAGCAGAGCTGTTAAACAAATTAGGTTTGTTTTTAACGGTAATACATTTTCTAGTTAAGATCAGTTTAGTTTAGTTCTAGTTCAGTTGTGTTTTAGTTCTAGTTCCATTTTCACCAGTTCAGTTCTAATTAAGTTCTTGTTTAATTCGAGATCAGTTACTGTTAAGATCTAGCTCAGTCTTAGTTCAATTACACTTCTTGCTCGGTTCTTCTTCAATTCTACTTCATTTCTAGTGCAATTCCATAGTGCACAAACTAATCCATAGACCTAATTATATCACAAGATAAAGTATATTTTATTCATAAATGAAACTAAAATATAAAATTTACACTTTGTTTCTTTTTTTTCATAGGAAATGCGTCGTCGACGCAATGAAGTCACAGTGGAATTACGTAAAAATAAACGTGAAGAGACAATCCTCAAGCGCCGCAATGTTCCCAACATGGATTCGAACACAGACGAAGATGATCAGTTACCAAATCAAATAAATTTGAAAAAATTAGCCGAAGCTGCTGCTGATTCATCAAAACCCGAACAACAATTGGCTGCTGTACAAGCTGCACGCAAATTACTCTCCTCTGATAAGAATCCACCCATCAATGACTTGATTAAGAGTGATATATTGCCCATTCTAGTTGATTGCCTAAAACAACACAATCAGACAATGCTACAGTTTGAAGCTGCCTGGGCTTTAACCAACATTGCTTCGGGTACATCAGAACAAACAAATGAAGTGGTGGGCGCCGGTGCTGTACCACTCTTCTTACAGTTGTTGTCATCACCCGCTCCAAATGTCTGCGAACAGGCCGTCTGGGCTTTGGGTAATATTATTGGTGATGGTCCCGAATTGCGTGATTATGTCATCAAACACGGTGTGGTACAGCCACTGTTGTCATTCATCAAACCAGACATACCCATATCATTTTTACGCAACGTCACCTGGGTTATTGTGAATTTGTGCCGCAACAAAGATCCACCACCACCAGCTGCTACCATTCATGAGATTTTGCCCGCTTTAAATATTTTGATTCATCATACCGACACCAATATCCTGGTCGATACCGTCTGGGCCATTAGCTATTTAACCGATGGCGGTAATGATCAAATTCAAATGGTCATCGAAAGTGGTGTTGTACCCAAATTGATTCCCCTTTTGGGTCATGCCGAGGTTAAAGTACAGACCGCAGCTTTGCGTGCCGTTGGCAATATTGTTACCGGTTCGGATGAACAAACACAAGTGGTGCTCAACTATGATGCTCTTGCGTTCTTCCCAGCTTTGTTGTCGCATCAAAAGGAGAAAATACGCAAAGAAGCCGTCTGGTTCTTGTCCAACATAACGGCGGGCAATCAATCACAAGTTCAGGCTGTCATCAATTGCGGCTTGCTGCCTAAGATCATCGAGAATCTACGTAATGGTGAATTCCAAACGCAAAAAGAAGCCGCTTGGGCCATTAGCAATTTGACGATCAGCGGTAATCGTGAACAGGTGTTTACACTCATAAAAGAGGGCGTCATACCTCCATTCTGTGATTTGTTATCATGCCAAGATACCCAGGTTATCAATGTAAGTGTTTATTAATGGAAAACGTTTTATAACGATTTCATTCGATTCTATTTGTAGATAATTTTATATTCTAAATTGAATTTCTTTCAATTCTTTCGAAAATTTCAAGTTATATTTGAAACAGTTTCAATGTTAAAGTAAAAACCTCTAGAAATTTTCGAAATTCCGAACTGACCATTTTCTTATAATTTAGAACTTTTTTTTTTAAATAACATGTTCGTAAAATTTTTAAAACGGAACTAAGACTGAACTGGAACTTTATCATAACTCAACCAGAACTTAACTGCAACTGAATTTAACTGAACTATAACTGAACTAGAACAGAACTAGAACAGAACTAGAACAGAACTAGAACAGAACTAGAACAGAACTAGAACAGAACTAGAACAGAACTAGAACAGAGCTAGAACAGAACTAGAACAGAACTAGAACAGAACTAGAACAGAACTAGAACAGAACTAGAACAGAACTAGAACAGAACTAGAACAGAACTAGAACAGAACTAGAACAGAACTAGAACAGAACAGAACAGAACTAGAACAGAACTAGAACAGAACTAGAACAGAACTAGAACAGAACTAGAACAGAACTAGAACTGAACTAGTATTGAACTTGAACTAAAATAGAACTGAACTGTAACAACTAGAACTGAACTAAAATTGAACTTGAACTAAACTAGAACTGAACTAGAACTGAACTAGAACTGAACTAGAACTGAACTAGAACTGAACTAGAACTGAACTAGAACTGAACTAGAACTGGACTAGAACTGAACTAGAACTGAACTAGAACTGAACTAGAACTGAACTAGAACTGAACTAGAACTGAACTAGAACTGAACTTGAACTGAACTAGAACTGGACTAAAACTGAACTAGAACTGAAATACAACTGAACTTGAAATGAACTAGAACTTGAAAAAAAGGGAACTAGAACTGAAATACAACTGAACTAGAACTAGAACTGAACTAGAACTGAACTAGAACTGAACTAGAACTGAACTAGAACTGAACTAGAACTGAACTGAACTAGAACTGAACTAGAACTGAACTAGAACTGAACTAGAACTGAACTAGAACTGAACTAGAACTGAACTAGAACTGAACTAGAACTGAACTAGAACTGAACTAGAACTGAACTAGAACTGAACTAGAACTAAACTAGAACTGAACTAGAACTGAACTAGAACTGAACTAGAACTGAACTAGAACTGAACTTGAACTAGAACTGAACTAGAACTGAACTTGAACTAGAACTGAACTAGAACTGAACTAGAACTGAACTAGAACTGAACTAGAACTGAACTAGAACTGAACTAGTACTGAACTAGAACTGAAATACAACTGAACTTGAAATGAACTAGAACTTGAAATAAAACTGAACTAGAACCGAAATACAACTGAACTAGAACTGAACTAGAACTGAGCTGGAACTGAACTAGAAATGAACTAGAACTGAACTAAAACCGAACTTGGACCGAACTAGTACTTAAATGGAACTATACTAGAACTGAACTGAATTTAAAAATTAAGATTAAGATTTAACTTTCATTCCATTCCTTATCTTCATGTTCGAACTTATTCTTATATTATAAATATTGTTTTCTCTCCCTTATACAGGTGGTTTTAGATGGTCTTAACAATATGCTCAAAATGGCCGAGAGTCATGTTCAAGATGTAGCCAATTTAATTGAAGAATGCGATGGTCTCGAAAAGATTGAAAAACTACAAAATCACGAAAATGTGGAAATCTATAAGTTGGCCTACGAAATTATCGAACAGCACTTCTCTGACGAGGTAATTATTATTGGAGAAAAACAATAAAAATGTGAAAATATTTAAAATACTTTATTTTGTTTGTTTTACAGCCTGAACAAGCTTCGATGGTACCAACATCTGATGGCACTCAATATCAATTTGATCCAAATGCCGATAGTAGATTACCGAACACATTTAATTTTTAACAAAATTTCCCTTATTTTTCAATGTGACCATGATTTGAATATGTTGTCTTGTTAATTTGCAAACAACCAAAATCTTTTTTTTTTATATATACAAATATAAATATATATTTAATTTAGTAACATACAACAAAACGGAAACAAAGCAAAAGAGAGAAAAAAGAAGGATTTATCAAATAATAACAAACGAAAGCAACTGCAACAAAAACAACAACAACATCATCATAATGAATGAGTCCATGATAATTTAATTATTGTAATTTAATACTTTATATAAACAAAAAGAAATATCTATATATATATATATAATTCTATATATAAAACCAAACAGTTTAATTGAATTTTTGAGTTTTAAACACATGAAAAAGAAAAAAAAGCAAAAATAACGAAATTTATCCCTTGACTTCCTTTCTTTTGAAGTTTTAATTTTTTCCCTGAAAAAAACAAAAAAAAGTATCATCATTATATATAATTTTTCTTTTTCTACTATAGAAAATTATTTTTTCTTTTTATTTTTTTTTTATACAAAATAAGTAAAAGTAAACTACAAAAAATGTTTATTACTTAAAAGAATTTTCTTTTTTATTATTTTTAATTTTAATTTTGGAACTAAACAAAACAAATATATTGTAGAAAAAAAAAAATACCTTTAAAAAAATTTTATAACTAAACCAAGTTTGTTTTTTATTTATATATTTTTTTGAAAAATACTTCAAAATCTCTACAATTCATGTTGTTATTTATTACAAATTTAGTTTTTTTCCTCCTTTTTATTTAAATTTGTTTATTGAATTTGAGTTTTCGCCTATAAATTATATATAAAATTAAATTGAATTTTCATAAAAAAAAATCATCAAGATCCAAGATTCAACGCTCATTTGCAACAAATTTAAATTAAATTAACAAATAAAATTAAAGAAAATATAAAAAAAAATCATAAGTATTTAAAAACGCCAACATATTTCAAAAATATTACAACGTTTTTAAGAAAAACAAAACATCTTTTAAATCGTAAATATAAATTTAATTATAATAAAAAGAAAAACATCATAAAAAAACACAAGTAAACGAATCTAATTTAAATCTATAGTTAATGTGGTGAGTTTTGAACTAGAACTAAACTAGAACTTAACTAGAGCTGAACTAGAACTAAACTAGAACTGAACTGGAACTGAACTAAAACTTAACTAAAACTTAAGAAGAACTGAACTAGAGGTGAACTAGAACTGAACATGAACTGAAGTAGAGCTGAACTACAACTGAAATAAAACTGAACTACAACTAAAATAGAAATGATCTAGAACTGAACAAGAACTGAGCTAGACCTGAACTAGAACTGAACAAGAACTATCATTGAACTAGAGCTGAACTAGTACAGGAACTAAGTGAATTAGAACTGAACTAGAACTGAGCTGAACTATCATTGAACTAGAACTGAACTGGCACATAACTAGAACTGAACTAGTACTGGAAGTGAATTAAAACTGAATTAGAACTAAACAAGAAGTGAACTAGGACTAAACAAGAACTGAACTAGAGCTAAACAGGAACTAAGGTAGAACTGAACTAGAATTGCATTAGAACTGAACTAGAACTGAATTAGAATGGAGCTAGAACTACAACTGGAATTGAACTTGAAGTACACTCGAACTAAAGTGGAAATTAAATTTAATTTAGAATTAAAATTTTGCATAAACAATTTTATTTATAAATTTTCTTGCCACTAGTTACTAAATCAAAATGGTCCGATTTCTAACAACTGCATATAATGCAATTATAGGCGCCTGCGATAAAATTGTACCAGCATCCCTAAGGCCCTTATGGATGAATCCGGCTGGTCCCAAAACAGTTTTCTTTTGGGCACCTATTTTCAAATGGGTAATATACAATTTTTTAATATATTACAAAATATTGACTAGCTTTTTTAAAAAAGGGTCTCGTTATTGCTGGTATTGGTGACTTAAAACGTCCTGCTGAACTTCTATCCATCAATCAAGCGTCAACATTGACAGCTACAGGTCTTATTTGGTCACGTTATTCCATGGTCATAGTGCCGAAAAATTATATTTTATTAACTGTTAATATGTTTGTCGCCCTAACGCAGGGTATACAAGTTGTACGAGCTGTTAGATATCAAATGGAACAGAATAAAGAAAATTAAAAATAAAATTTCACGAAATGTACTCAAAACCAAAGTAAATTAATAAAGTAGCGACACTAGTTGTTGTACAACAAACGTCTACAAAAACCACAGGCAATTTGTTTTTGTTTGAAATACTCACTTGTCAAAATTTGTTTACAAAAGTGAACCAATAATTAATGGAAAATATGGCATTATTGTTGTACTTTCCAAAAATATGTTGTTATTTATATTAAAAGTCACAGAGTTTTCTTTATTTTTTAAAAATTAGAACATTTTTAAAAATATTATACACTTAAAATACACTTTTTCACATTAAATACAACAAATTACTCAGAAATTTGTACAAAAGCAAGCGTTAAAATGAAAACAAATATGGCAACATAAACATTTTTGACAAGTAAGTCCACAAATGGCAAGTTTAAAAAAAATAGTCAGCTGTTCAAATGAGTCTACTTTATAAATTTACTTTGCTCAAAACTTCTTTTCAAGTTGCGGCTAAATCTGAAAATTTAACGCCGTTAACAAGAAGTCGCCTTTGACAAACACACAATAAACAAACAGCTGTCAATTACACAAATTGCAAAAAAATTGACATTGTTGTAAAAAAAAAACAAAAAATAAACACAAAATTATTGTTGTATTGCGAATAATGTGAAAAAATAGGCGTAAAAAATAAACAATGAATAAAATAAACAATAAATGTCGGACGTGTTTCAATGAGTCCACCAAAGGATTACAATCTCTAACAAAAAAGACTTCAACTGACGAGAATAATCAGCAAAAATCCTATGCAGAATTACTCAATGAAGTGGCCAATATTAATGTAAGTAAATAAACAAAATTAAATGTTTAATAACGAAAATTTAATGTAATACATTTTTCACAAAAGATAATGCAAGACAAATGTTCTAAAATGCCTCAGGCCATTTGTGGCCTTTGTTCCAAGAAACTGAAAGCCGCCCATGCTTTCGTCCAGCAGGCTCAGGAAGTCAATGAAAAGCTTTATTCCATGTTTTTACAAAATCCTCAGTCGGTGGATAGCGTTGGTGTTGGAAAGTCTTCGGATTGTTTACAAGAGGTTCAAATCGATATAGCGGCATGTGCTGAAATTAAAATGGAACATGATGATGTGGGTGACAGTAGTGATGGTGTGGTGGGTGTTGATGTTATGATGGCTGAGCCAGAATTGAAACAGGAGAATGCAGAAGAAGATGCCTTAGCTGTTAATTTTACGAAAAGTGAAGATAATTTTGAAGAAGGGTAAGATGGTTTTAAAATTTCCTCTAGAACTAGACTAAATTTGAAGTGATGTAGGTCTTTTATAATATTCATCTTATTTTTTTTTTACTTTTAGCAATGACCTAAAAGATTCTTTAGATGTAACATACCCCAATGTTTCTCTAACAATCCTCACGTCTGACACTGAAGACAACATTCCCAATATTCTGGAGCAAACTATGGACACTTCCGATAACAATAGCAATATAAATGAAAGATCATGCCATTCGGCTAGTGATGATAATGATGACAATGAATGGTTAAACGAATCAAATAATTCCACAAAAAAATCGCTAAAAAAGAAAACATCACCTACGAAAAAACGTAAAAAATCACCTAAAGCTGAAGAAACTAAAGACAAAAATGAAGATGAATGGTTGCAGGTGAAATGTAATGATTGTGATAAAATATTTGACAATTCACGGCTATTAAATCGTCACCTGCGTTTAAATCATGTACCAGATGAGCTGAAAATACAATGTCTTCATTGTGAGGCCAAATTCAGTCGTCGCCATAATATGTATGCTCATATGCGTCGTATACATAAAACAGAAAATTTAGAAGAGTTCCAAATACAACCGAAAAAATCCAACGCCGCGAAGCAGTATGCCTGTCAGCAGTGTACACGTTCATATACCAATAAATATAAGTTAATAGCTCATGTCAATAGTCATCATAATCCCGATAATAAAACCACTGCCCCTAAAGAGAAGGTACTACAGCCGAAAAAACGTTTCTTGTGTACACTTTGTGGTTTAAAGTTCGATAGTGAGGGTAATTTGAATATTCATTTTCGGCGGCATACTGGTGAAAAACCCTATAAGTGTGAATTTTGTGATCGAGCCTATCCTAGACTCTACGATGTACAAGTACATCGTCGCACGCATACCGGTGAGAAGCCCTATCAATGTACCCTCTGCGAAAAGACCTTTAGACGATCGAACAAATTAAAGATTCACATGCGTACGCACACTAACGAACGACCCTATAAGTGTACGCAGTGTGAGAAGGCTTTTAAACAATCGAAAGATTTGAATATACACAAACGTACGCATACCGGCGAGAGACCCTATAAATGTGCCGTGTGTCAGAGTACATTCACCCAGAGTAATTCGTTGCGTTTACATCAAATTAAACAACAGCATTTGGAAAAGGTGAAACCAGTTGAAGATTTGCCCACGACAATGACATTTATGTGTCAGCAGCCAACATAAAGTATTATTAATATTAGTGATTTAATAAGTATAAGTTAAATAAATTGTAGTCATATAAATTTGTGCTGTTTGATTTTCAATATTAGAGTGTTTTTGGGAAAAACGAAGTGAACTATAACTTGATTTAGAACCAACTAGAAATGAATCCAGAACTGAAACTCAATTAGAACAGAACTAACATGAACTTTACTAGAACTGATCTAAATCTGAGTAAGAGTTAGCTAAAAACGAACTGATATGAAACGGAACTGCAACTGAAACTCAATTTGAACAAATTAAAAGGGAAGGGCGAGCGAGAGCGAGCGAGGAGCGAGCGAGCGAGCGAGCGAGGAGCGAGAGAGCAGCGAGCGAGAGAGCGAGCGAGCGAGCGAGCGAGCGAGCGAGAGCGAGCGAGCGAGCGAGCGAGCGAGCGAGCGAGAGAGCGAGCGAGCGAGCGAGCGAGCGAGCGAGCGAGCGAGCGAGCGAGCGAGCGAGCGAGCGAGCGAGCGAGAGAGAGAGAGAGCGAGCGAGCGAGCGAGGCGAGCGAGCGAGCGAGCGAGCGAGCGAGCGAGCGAGCGAGCGAGCGAGCGAGCGAGCGAGCGAGCGAGCGAGCGAGCGAGCGAGCGAGCGAGCGAGCGAGCGCGAGCGAGCGAGCGAAGCGAGCGAGCGAGCGAGCGAGCGAGCGAGCGAGCGAGCGAGCGAGCGAGCGAGCGAGCGAGCGAGCGAGCGAGCGAGCGAGCGAGCGAGCGAGCGAGCGAGCGAGCGAGCGAGCGAGCGAGCGAGCGAGCGAGAGAGCGAGCGAGCGAGCGAGCGAGCGAGCGAGCGAGAGAGAGAGCGAGCGAGCAGCGAGCGAGCGAGAGCGGCGAGCGAGCGAGCGAGCGAGCGAGCGAGCGAGCGAGCGAGCGAGCGAGCGAGCGAGCGAGCGAGCGAGCGAGCGAGCGAGCGAGCGAGCGAGCGAGCGAGCGAGCGAGCGAGCGAGCGAGCAGCGAGGAGCGAGCGAGCGGCGAGCGAGCGAGCAGCAGCGAGCGAGCGAGCGAGCGAGCGAGCGAGCGAGCGAGCGAGCGAGCGAGCGAGCGAGCGAGCGAGAGAGCGAGCGAGCGAGCGAGCGAGCGAGCGAGCGAGCGAGCGAGCGAGCGAGCGAGCGAGCGAGCGAGCGAGCGAGCGAGCGAGCGAGCGAGCGAGCAGAGCGAGCGAGCAGGAGAGGAGCGAGCGAGAC